TGTCAGAACTAGTAATTAAAGATAAAACTAGCTTACTAGCTACGTTTCAACTGGGTTTTCTAACAATTTCATTTGAAAAATAGTCTCCTTACTGATCGATTCGCGTTAACGTTAGGATTTTATTATATGAAACAAAGATTTTTTTAAATGTGATTCCATTCCAGATGTATTTGTTAGGAATAGCTGAAATTTCTTTTGCAATTGTTATATCTTGTTTTTAACAGGCTTTAAAAGGAGGAGGTTTCCAACTCGAATGTATTTTATACTCAGGGATCAAGCACGTGCCAATGATTGAAAAATGAGGTCCTTTAATTATTTTTTTTACACAAATGTTGTTTTTATTGGTCAATTTCATAATTTAATAAATAAATAATTATTTTAATAAATTTATATAGATATTTTTAATAAAAAAACCTTGATCCCAGACTATTTTAATGTGTGTATTTTTTCGCGAGTATGTTACGCCGACATTATTCCAATATTTGTGAGCCGATTTCAATGATTCTTTTTTGTTGGAAATTGGGTACCTCAGTAGTGAGTGGTACCTTTCGAATTTGAAGAAAATATTCCACCTTTTAGGGTGATAAATTAGGGGTTCAATCCGGTTTATTGGATTCCACCTACTTTCCGTTAGCCGATTTCAACAAAACTTGGCGAATAGGTGTAATTCCACAAACTTTTGAGGTAAGTTTTTTTTTAAAGTTGTACGCTGTTTTGCTATTATGTGACTAAACATGTTTGGATATTATTTCACGATCTTTTTTTACAATTCGAACCTAATTCGCGTCCATTTTATAAGTCCATAATCCTGTTTTCTCGTCTTTAATCACAAAGGATTTAATAAACAAATCTGCATCAGGCTTATTAGCGTTCGGAACGAAATGTTAATAACCCCTGAATAAGCTGACATGTGAAATGGCTAATCTCTTATCTAAATACAGTGTCGTGTCGACCCCTTCCTTTGTGCGTGATCGCCTGGGAAGGATTAAAGCTTATTCAAAGCAACAACACTGAAATCCATAAAGTAAAAAGTCGCTTTTGAAAAAAAGAAAAGAAAAAGTGTTTTCCAGTTTCCAGTTATGACGGAAATATCGTATTTCGGGAAAAATTTTCGTTAATGCAAATTAAATTCGTAAACTAGTAGTCAAAGTACGCAAGCTATTTAGCGTACATATGTACAGTCAACAGCATACGCGGCTTTACACTTTAAGTGTTCTTATCATAAATGGCACAAAGTTGAATTTAAATCCTAGAGGTAAAACTGAGCGAGCTGTTGTATAAAGTTACAACACCAAATATTCTCTTCAGAAATTATTCATTTTGAGAACACCAGTAACATGGCATTGGTTTGCACATTTCCCGAGTGGAGCGCATAATTTTAACATAACGAACCGTGTGATTAGATAATTTCGGTCGGCTTTTCTTTCCCGGTTTGTAACAATGGCCATGCATATTAAAAATGTTTTTTCCATCGTTTCACTTTTTAAAATCGGTAATAACAATCAATAGGTTTAACATCAATGGGTGGTAATCCATTTTAATTTCGTATATGTTTTGTCGACTCAAAGCCAGTAACAAATTTCAAGTAAAGGTTTAAATGTATTGATATATTGATTTTGTAAATTATTATTAGTGTAAATATATATAAATTGAATTTGAGAGCAATGTTGGTTAGCACCGATAGCTGTGTCGAAATGAACTTGTATAATTGTAACTTTTTTTTCATTGAAATAAAAAAGTTAGCTTGTCGGCTTTTATCGATTTCAATGGGAACCCCTCATCAAATTCCGACTTCTTGGTGACTATGGGGCTGTTACGGACTCCTTTGTAGATTTTATACTTTTTTTCTCTGTTTGCAATGGTGACGGTGGTTTGTTGATTAGGTACATGCATTTTGTTAAATTAAAAATCGAATTTTAATTGCGGAAAATATTTTTTATTTGTGCCAAAACATCGTAGGTATCAGGAACCATCTCGAGAATACTCTAGAGATGACCCTTCCAAATTAAAAAAGACTTTTCAAAATCGATTCATAATTGGTTGAGAAATTGGAGAGTGTACTAGTATACATTCCTATAAAATTTGCGGATTTTCCTCGATTTCCAATGAGATCCTCTCATCATATTCTGACTTGGTGACAATGAGACCACTGCGAAAGTGCAACCTTTGAAACAAAAAAAGAATTTCAAACTCGACTCACTATTGACGGAGAAATCGGAAAACATACATACAGCCCAATGTATAACCTCCTCCATATTTTTGAAGTCAATTAATGAATTGGTTTTGGTCTGAGTGTTCTGCGTAATGCTCCGGAGTTAATTTCGTTATTCTGGTGCTCATAGTACATTAGTGGTTTAATAATACTTCCGTCATAACTCCATAGAAAACTATCTGACATAATACAACCAGACTGGAACCAGCACATAAACCTTATTCCACGGTACGGAGATCTCTATTTCCATAAATAGCGGATAATCTAAAATCTACCAGTAAACCCAATACCCTTGGGCTTCAAAAACTGTTCACATTTCCACATTCACGTGGGAATTCCGTCCTTTTCTTAATCTGCGGACCCGAGATCTGACAGCCATGTTATCTGAATAATCACAGAGAGGGATCCGGGAAAACAATTGAGAAACTCGCTGCACGCTGAAATAGTCTGTTTACGAAGCTTACTTTGACGATTGATTTTTCGGCTCCTGTTTTCAGTTCGTTCTAACCTTTGTAGGTAAGAGAAAACGAGAATTATGTGGCATTAACCGATTTGTATCATTCTATTCAAATTTATTTAAGAAATAAGTATCAACTACTTTGCTTAGGGCATTTTGTGTGATTGATTAATTATTCAACAAAAAAGAGTTTGTCATTTATTCATTGTAAACGAGTTAAAAAAAACCTAATATATTTTTTATGTGTAATAAAACGTTGCCTCTTTCGGCATTTCCTCTGCCTGGACGTAATGACATATGTTAACTATTTTTCAACTTTTGCTTATTATCCTACATCTGTTTTTAGTGTCTTTTGTATGAATAAATAAAATGAAATAGTCTCAATCCACAATTTCTGACCTTTTTATTAAAGTTATATATGTACATACAGTTGTACAGAAATAAGCTTATTTATGACGATCAATAAAAGAAACCAAACAATCGTAATCTTTACTTTTCTATACAAAGTCACGGTAGTAAGCGATTTGTGCCATTCAATTGCTAATTATCCCTAAAGTTGTTATGTATGACTCCAATAAGAATTGGGAATTCAATATGGGAATTCAATATAATGCTTATTAAAATATTAGAGAATTATAGTCCCATAGACAGCCGGGTGAATAAGTTTAATAATATAAAATGTAATCGTTAATGTCTTTGTAATATTGATGTTTACCTGACCAGTCATTAAGATATAGACAAGCTGGACCGTACTCAAGGTTTGATTCCGTATGTTTTGTTACAAGTTCTACGAACACGAAAATATAGTTGGTGGACCAATTTGTGATTACCTTCCACCTCCCACAGCACTCCATTCAGCGCTACATTCGGATTATACAATTTGAACGAAAGAAGGAAGTAAGCAGGTAAGTTTTACTCTTAATTACACTTTCCGTTTGCAATACTTCGTCTATTGTGCTTCTGGCATAGAATGACTAAAAAATAATAAGCAATGTAAATAGAGCAGCAATTTTCACGTTAAGTATAATAGGCAACAATGGTAATGCAGAATCACCGGACATACAGATTACCACGTTAGATTGCTTTTGAATGTTTTTCACAAAACATAGTACTACAGCAGTTGCCAGATAGTTCCCCTATCAACAAAATCTATTACAGCAGTCCATCCCCGTGATTTATTCACTGTATCTGCTTTATTACGGGTTTTTCGCTTATAGTTTTTGTGCCAACATCGCAAGTTGAGTTCGTTGCTCTCGTTTCGTAAATATTGCATTATGGATGAGCTGAGCGTTGCTAATCTTTTATCATTAGAATAGGAACATTTCGTCCGGCGTCAATTTTAGCATTTTGTTGCTTTTCTTTGTGTGGAACTTTAGGGGAGCGAGACTTATTCTTTCACGTTACATAAAACGTGAAATTAAAAAAGAATTCACGTGTTGATTTGACGGAGAACATGATAGTCTCGTGTCAGCCATGGTCGTTGCTCGACTGAAATATTCATGATGATTACATCCATAAATTTGCCGGTTACCTGCGCGTAAATGGTTGATTTACATCACCAGAGCAGAGGTAATGTGTCGCGTATTTTGCGTCCCTAATAACATAACACATTTACGTCATACATTGCTTTTTTATGATGCATGGGAAATTGCGACGGATAGAGACTTTTTTGTGATGCCCACGTAAAGAATAGATGAAAACTTTAGAACACCATTGTCTATTAGGTTTTTTTTGGCACAGGAAACAAGATAATAGAATTAGGTTGAATAGAACGCACGTTACATTTTACTCATTAAAGCTCAATAGGAGACGAACACAAATAAAAAGTTAATAATGATGCTCAAGAATCCATTTTATTAAAGTCAGCATAAACAAAATAGGTCCGTAGATTCCTCAAAAGACTACTTGAACAATCTAAGAGTGATTAAAAAGATAAAGAAAGACTAACTGCTTAGCAGGCTCCTTACTTGAAGGATTTAAACTTTTGATAACAAATTTCCGATAAAAGTTTGCAAATAGGAGGAATAATTCATTAAATGTTTCTACTATCGGTTGGACTGAATGAAATCGTTATTATTTATTTATCAACTAGAAGATATACACAGCTAATAGGAATCGTTTGTGAAAAACTTTAGCACGTTTTCAATTCTGGAACGAGTTTTCGGAACGTTTTAACGCCTAGATGTGTAGTTGCATATCACTTCTGAGATCATTGAACTGTATCTTTACATTACACCGAGTCACGAATGTTGACAAACATGCAGGAGGAAAATATAACCATGATGATACCACTCATTGCTACAGTTCTATTCCGAGTTAACAACCCCTTACCTTATGAATAGGAGTTCCCCAAAAGTCATTGAGGAAGATGTTTGAAATAGGCGTTTGAGGCTTCAAGTCTCTGTTTTCCTTTATGGCACTTATATCATCAAAGACGAAACCGCAATAAAGACAGTTGTGGTAGACTAAGATGCAGGCTAGGACGAGAATGGCCCCAAGACCCCGGCGAGGGCCTTCTGGCATGCCTTCTGGAGTCTGGTTGGGACCAGTAAGGCGTCTCCTACTGCGGCCGGTCCTAGTAGTCCGTACCGCTGATACCACTCCTCCAAATCTACACACGCCACTCACGCGGTCCATCGTGATCACATCAACATCCTATTAAACTTATCCCTAACAACACATCACATTCTAGATCAATATTATATTCCAAATAAATATCATTGTCATTGACAAATAAGCGGGCCCAAGTCACCTGAAATGTTTAGCGAAAATACGATACGAACGGAACCGGGTCTATAAATTTTGCTACTCAAAAATCGGAGAGCAAAAATGGCTAAATACTCAAAATCACACTACCGATCACTAAAAACTTAATGTTACTGTGAATGTTTACGTTACGAAGATGCACATGTCACATTTTTTAATCGAAATTATTGGATTTGACATTTATGTTGCAATTTCGTCAAAACGTGCGAGGACACACTCGCTCGCAAGGCCGGTTCACCGACGACTGCCGAAGTTCGACGAGCGAATGCCGCGGCAAGTCACGTGACCAGTCGTTTTACTGCGGGTCGTTTTCGAATGGCGCATGCGTGTGTGTAGGGGTTGCTGGCGGCAAAACTGTTTATGTACCAAATGGACTAGTTGGACAAAACTGAAAAAAAAAAAATATATACTATGAAGTCGGTTAAAAAGAGTGGGTACGTCAGTTGAGTTATTAAATGGGTAATATATTTGTTACACTGCATGTTTAAAGCAGGTTTATAGTGTTTATTTATTTAAATGTCATTTTACAAACTACTTACAAAACGCATTGCATAAAATGCGAATCCAACAGAATGTTAAATATATAAAACAACTTAAACGACAATTTAATATTAGCTCTCTACCGCCCCCACCTGTTACCTATTTATTAGCTAGACCTTGAAAGTGAGGTACTCGTTCAAAAATTTAAACAACAGAGGGCCGACTAATAAATCAGCGATGATTTGAGTGCAGGGGCATATTATCGCAATTTGATTATCCTACGGCTGCCGTTGTATGGGCGCATGCTCGTGAGACGCGCGGGGTTCGGCCCGGTGAAGGGGCCGCGGGCGGGGTACGAATGTTGATGACGACATTTGGTCGGGTTCACGGAACGAGCGAGACGGGAGTGAGCGCGAACCGGGATTGAGATTCGCCTGTTTCCATTATCCTCCTACTCGCAGCAGCGAGTGCTGCGACTTTTGTTTCGCGAAATATCCGATTGACATCGACAACTTGTACATTGCGCGCTTTTCGCTTAATACACCCTCTAAGTTGCGATGTTTTGGCAGAATTCATTCCTCTCGCACCACCGGCGTCGAATGATAAACTCCGATAAAAGGTTTTCGATGTCGCGAGATCTCCCTTTATGCGGCAAAGTTATTAGTTGCGTGACTTTCCTGAGATTTTTTTGAGTTGAAAACGATGTAACGAGAGATAACAATAAATTGGGATGTTACAGTCGAATGAACAAGGTGTTCAGAAAATATAGCAGAGATAGGTATTTTTATTCCCTAATATGCTTATTTCCTATGATATGAAGATTGGCTGGAAATTACTTTTAGAATTTGTATTTGATTCGGGAATAAAATAGTTTTTAAACCGTGTTATATACCCAATTTAGAAAAGGTAAGCCGATTTAGATTGAAATATCTCGTAGTAATAATCTCGTAGATCACACAAAGAAGGTTAATATAGGTTTTGGTTTTGACGGCTACATGGCGAATATTTAGGGTCTATTTGTTTAGGCAATGGTGTAGTTTTAGGAAAATTTGAAATAACCTAGGGCTTATCGTTCACCTGACATATGTTCTGCATAATGACGGGGGTATTAACATCTTAGGCTTATTATTCGAGTATTTTTCTGTTTTATTCTATACAATATTTTAATTTTTTTACTGTTTATTGTCTTCTTGTGAACTTATTACTAAGACAAATTTTATCATGCTGTGTACACTGTTTTTGGAATGTGTTCTAGTTTATTATTGTATCAAACTATATCGGTTACCATGGTGTTGATTACATTCTGTTTGTGTACCTTTAAAAAAAACATAAGGACTCATTGAACTAATCCTAAGGATGACCAAAAAAGAGCTAGTAATTTAAAATAGATATAATACCATTTTAAACTATAACCAATTATCTTGCCATTATGGAGATTGGCACGACATGACATTTTTTTATAATATCAAGTGACCGGGGTTACCTATCAGTAGTCCGAAGTGACATTTTCCAGAAATAACGTTTGCTGGAATTTTCATAACCTCGAAAGTAATTTTGAGAGGAAAATATGTTTTCTTTTGAACCTAACTTAACCTAACCTTTTTTTTTTGTTAATCCGGGGGAATCTGCTTACAGATACCCCGGCCCCGCGGGGGCAGAGCCGGGGTTATGTGGGACTGGGCTGAACCCTGAAGGGGAGCAGCCCGACCGCACTAAACCCCCGGAGTGTTCCTCCTCTCCGCTGTAGGTGGGGGTACGGGTACGCACTCGTCCGCGCCCCCACCAGCGGCTGGCCGCGCCCTGCGCAGCCCCTCCCCGAGAAGGGAGACACAACGGTCCCCCGACTCCGAATGTGAGGCTCGCCGAACACCAGACGAGCCTTCCATCCCGGGCCCCTTTATGCTGGGCAGCGAACTCCCCCGAGTCCGCTACCCAGGGGCCATGGGGAGCCAGGACAGCATCCACTCAACTGTGAAGTTCAGTGGCTGCTCCCCCAGCCCCCACGGCGGATCTGATGAGAGGCTCCGCCGCAACACCTAACGCGCTTCCGCGCGGACTCTCCGAAGAGAGTCCCTTGGAGCGCCCACCACGGGCCAACCGCCCACATTCGGCCAACTTAACCTACCCTAACCGAACCTGATCGTGTCTTTGCGATAAACATCCAACATATCCTGAAAGAACAACGGTTCCATTATAATTCGGTTTTCGGTGTAATGAAAAATCGAACAAACGTTATTTCGGAAAAAAGAAATTCGACTTTGTGATAGGTTACCGTCCTCTGTAGGCACACTTGGCGCACCTTTGGCAACATTCGGTGATTAAGTTATGGTTACACTTCACATGGCTACTTGTATTCTTTATTGGGCAAACATACAAAAACTGACAAATATGACCGTCTACTTCTTCTTCTTCAAGTGCTTCTCCATTATTGAAGGTCGGCAGTCAGTATTTTTATATCTTTCTTTGTCCAGAGCTAGCCTGGACAGTTGTTTCACGGTCTTGATACCGGTCCACTCCCTGATGTTACGAAGCCATGACATTTTCCTTCTTCCAACCTTCCGCTTCCCAGCTACTTTGCCCATTATTATAGTGTGCAAAAGGTGATATCTGTCATGTCGCAGTACATGACCTAAATAGGCAATCACTGCTTGAAAGTCTACGCATGTAGGAGTTAAAATAATAAAAATGACCACATCGTGGACGGTTTATTTGCAGATTTGCCTATTTGGCTCCTTTGATGTTCGTCGCGAAACCGACCAGCGCGCGGTAATTCGAGTATAGTCTTTGCTGCATTTATCAAATAGGCAAATACTTCGTCACACATGCCAACTACACATGGTGATTGTTTGCCAAATATATCAAATACTCAAATACAAATAGCCATAAGAAGTGCCACCATTACGCCGATTGGCAAATCCTTTCATCTCAATGGCAAACATGTTCCACAATCCAGTATGGCGGCTACTACTAGTGACGCGTGTAGCCATCTATACTCTAGCCAAATTCGATGTCGAATGTTTAATAACAAAATGTTGCTGGCAACCAATGATGGCATAGGAAAATATTTTTATTTTTTCAATGCTCATTACTAAAGCTTGCTCTGCCCACGGCCTGCTCCCTTAATTGGAATTTAGATCGGTAAGTAGATAATTGGGTTACGTAGAAGTAATACTTATCTAGCCAATTATTATAAAGTTTTACAAAATACCTATTGATACGTATGATTTAGGAATAAAAATAAGTGTTTGCATCCTATTAATATTTGCTGCTAGATGGTAGGTAATGGAACAAAATTGTAAGATTTTATTTGATATTAATTTACCACATATTATATCATCCAACATCTATTTCCGATTTTAAATTTAAATTACCACCAGAACTCGAATGTTTGCAATCTCTCCCTTCAAATGAAAAAGTCATTAGGGATGACACAGTTTTACAAATAATTAATTACTGGTCATTTTTATGTCATTTTTAGGTGATTTGAAACTTCTGTTGTATAATATTTATTATAAACAAGACTTCAAGATTTAATATTATCCATAATCTAGTTGAATTTCGGGGGAAAATATTGAAATTGTGGTAACAGTGAAAGATTCTGAGATGGAAACCCTAAAAATCATGTTTTTGTTTGTTGACATTTATTCTATAGTGTATGCTATCGCTACGACAAGAATACGTTACGTTTTTATTTACTAATTATCTAATGATATTGATTAACAGCTATTTGTGATAAAACTAATGCTAAATGTTTTGAAAAATAATAATCATTGTTTAACTAGCCAATAACGATCTTCTTTTTATTCCTAATGCTAAATATAAAATTTAACAGCCGTCATGACCGAACGGTTATAATGTCTGCCACGCAGAGGCCCCGGGTTCGATTCCTGTGCCGGGAGAAATATTTGTATGGCTTACATTTATTTCTCTCGTGAGATTGCGTAATTTGTGGTTGTCTATGTGTGTGTCCATGACCCGTATATATGTGTGTTTCCTTGTGTGCGCGCGTAAATAGAAATTTAATGAATAATATTTGGAATTCATAATTTAGGCGTTTTATTCAAAACCTGAAAGACAGTGACAAATATTGTTATTTCGCTCCTTTACAGTGAAAGTGATCTAATATGGACCTAATTTTTAAAAATCAACAAATTGAGTTTATACCGTAAATCGATCTTATTAATATCAATGTCATAAGGTCGTTAATCTATAAAGGTCGAATAGCACAGGCACAAGTAATAATATAATACATGATACTAATTGGGAGATTATAACTGTCACTGATATCAATTATTATCTCCCAAAAAGTACAAAATGTTAGATGATTGAATATAGGCTTTGGTATGGCACTCTTGTGATACGATAAGCAGAAGACTACGACAGGATATTACCCTGGAAATTCTTTTAAAAGCATTACCTTCCTTATGATTTTATTCTACTCGGGTAAAGGAACAATATTATATAAAATACTTTACGAGTACGAAAGCCAGTGTTTTTATAGCCCTCTCTTTTGTGTTTGTCCAACAAATTTCACGATATAGTTACCGGGTGACTGTATGCGGAACAATGCCCTCTTCCTGGCTTTATATTTAGGGATCCACTAATAAAACTGCAATAGAAATGTTTTTATCGATAAAAAAATAGAGGCTCTTCGTTAAGTCTCTTTCACTCTTATATACTATTTTGTATTTTAAGTACCAATATTAAATTTCCTTTGTCTTAACCATTTTGTACCTAATACTTTATTAAACACAATTTACCTGTTCGAACATTGTGGAAAAAAGTGTGCAAAAAGCAATTTTCAGACCTTAACACGGAACCTTTGCACATTTTGTA